GTGTACCTGGCATCATGGATTCCCAGAAATACCAGGTCATTTTAAAGAAGAACGTGATGCCTTCTGTTGACAAATTAAACCTCGGTGATCATTGGATCTTCCAGCATGACAATGATCCCAAGTGCAGTTGAATAATACTGCACATGCTCATGTGTTACAAGAGTTACAATTTTCATTTGAACTTCAAAGTTAAGTCAGCTTCTGTTGTCAAAATAACTCGTGTATCAATAAATATTTTATTTCACGAGGTTTTTTTTTTCCATTTATTTTCATTATCTTTCATCATCACTATAATGTCTTTTGAGGTGAGGGGGTTCAATATTTCTGATTGCAACTGTGTGTGTGTGTGTGTGTGTCTTTTTAAAAAATTTATTTTTTTTTAATGTTCAGAAATATATTCCTGTCACACTTTTGAATATCGATGTTATTGCGGTCGAAATCATCAATGAAATTCATCCCAGTTGATTTCCTGACAGTCTGGGAGATGTATACACACATAATTAAAAAAAGATCAAATAATAAACAGGGGGGTTGCTTTTTGTTTTGCAATCCTACAGTAAAAGATCATTGCTTTCCAAAATGTCTATGAGAAAGACCAGACAACTTTCATTTTCATTACTTTAGAGAAATTGAATTATCATGTGCTGTTTGTGTTCAGAATTCTCCACTGTGTCGTGGTCCATTCCCTCCTGGTGTTGGTCCAGTTCTGTCTCAGATTCAAAGGGCCCAGATGCTCAACTCTCAGGTTAGTACCACACACACACAGACACAGTCTTTTTTGGTTGGTAGAATTTTGAGAGTAGCATAACTGAAATAATTGCGTCACAGAAATGACAGATCCAAAGTACCAATGGTATTGATGGTTACGTACAGCAACCCAAGCTTCTACGAGTATAGGCGTAGCCCTCTAAGCTGGCAGCCCTGCTGTCTCCACCCCTGCCAGGAAAAAGTGCTGGTGTAGGGAGCCGATCACAGGTCACAGTGGCATTTATGCCACCACAGTGGACCTGTTTGGGGAGAGCCCAGTGCAGGGCACAAGAATCTCTTCAGGACTGCACATGCGCAAGGGATGAACCCAACAGCGACAGCTCTTAGAGGGAAAAGCCTATACGAAATAGAACTTATTAGCTATCTGGCTAGCTTGGGTTTATTCAGACTCAAGAAACTACTGTCCAGAAATGTAACAATGACACAGCTGCTGCTTAGTTCACCTGTTAAATCGTCCATTAACCACCTGCTGTTCTCTCGCTCTCTTGTCCCCCAGGTGGCAGGTTTTCCCCGCAGTGGTCCAGCACCTTCTTTGCTACTAGGTGGTGGTGGTTTCAGGCCATTCTTTGGTGGCCCCCCTCCTCCACATGGTCACCGAATGGGCCCACCGCCCCCTCATGGCCTCCCCAACCAAACGCCACCCATTCGGCACACCCCTACC